CGCGGCGAACAGCGTGGCCGCGCCCAGCACGCGGTGGTCCAGCTGCACCGTGCTGGGGTTCTCCGTGAAGTTGCGCAGCGCCGGCGACAGCGCCAGCACGTCCGCGGGCACCCAGCGCTCGCCCATCTTGGGGAACGAGTTGTACACCAGCCCCGCGTCCAGGCCGGCCACGAACGCGCCTGCGGACGGACGGAGCTGCACCTGCTGCCGGGCGCCGCGGCACCGCCGGCCTCGCCGCCGGGACGCTTACCGGACACGGCGGTGACGAACGCCAGGGCCTTGACGCCGTGCGCCAGGGCGGTGACGCCCTTCAGCCCCTCGACCCTCCGGTACGTGGCCGCGCCGGGGAAGGGGCGGAGCACCCTCAGCGCTCCGCCCAGCAGACCCGCGTACAGGATGAAGGCGAGCGACAGATGTGCGGCGAGCCGGTACTGCGACACGCGCGGCACGTCCGAGGGCCCTTGGAAGCGGTCCTCGAGACCCGACTTCACCATGTACCAGCCCATGAGACCCTGCAATACCACATTTGAAACACCGTGTCTATAGTTACCCGTACGGTTGCGAGTAGCATTAAACCTTCCGCTGCCACAATATCAGGCATCTTCAATTCTTAACAAAAACCGAAGAAGTTGTATTTAACTAAATATGTTTAATCAGCTGCATGCGAATTTTTACAGTAACGACTTAATAATAAACAATTTGGTTTCACTCGGGAACATTCCACTACGAAGAGGACGTTAAACTAATGAAACGTACGATGGAAAGACGCGTACTACAGATATATTTTGTGATCTTTACCACGCAATTTTAGTCAGGAAACTTGGCCATTGTGGTGCTTATGACCTCGATCTTTTACAAATGTATTCGAGTCACAGGGTCAAGAGAGTACGTAGTCATCAGGGGCTGCAGCTAGTATAGGGTGTCCCTCAAGGTTCAATTCTAGGTCCACCCGTTATTTAATTAATATTAATAACGCACCCAGACTCGTGGAAAGTGTTGGACTTGAGATGGTATTGTTGCGGATAATACTTTATAATTTATTACAAAGTGAAATAATCGCTAACCAACAACTAATAACCTACTCATAGCGAGGAATAAATAAAATTTGTAAAATCTCCATTAGAATTAATTAGATAAATAGACATTATATTAAATGAGAAGGCTCAGTTTTACATTGTTAAATATAACAACCCTAGATCGAAATTGCAATGGTCCCACAAATAAATAAGTTTAAAGAAACTGACATTCTTACATTGGCGTCACAGAACATTTAGGTCGACTAAAATAAACTTTCTGTTCTTGATTTGACATTTCCATAGTCACAAATTCATTTAACGGGAAACAATGTATTCAACTTTCATAATCAAGATTTCTGTTGATATAAAAAAGTTATTTTAGTACAAAATCTTTGCACAGAAATTTAGGGAAATTTGCCCTTCTTTTGAGCAAAGGTGTTAATATGTTATTGGTTTACTTATGATATTTCATTTTAGATTATTTCCTTACCTATTCTGAATTTTAAATTAAGACATTGCAACTTGTATATTAACCATGTATTGCTAAACCATATCACGCAACGTCACCGGTCTCGCTTCGCATCGAGATACTGCGGTCCCAAGCACCATTGCTAAGCAAACATATATCAATACAATTATATATTTAGAGCTATATTTTAATCGCCAAATGAAAATTTCGCCATTGTGTGGACTTGTTACGTCCGACATAACAAATGGGGCCGGTCACGGCCACGCACATAGACGACACACTACAAGCTGCCTGCACCTGCGCGGCGACCAGCGCGCAGTAGACGCCGACGCGCACTTTGAGGCCCCGGTCCAGGCGGCCGCGCGCCCAGAAGTAGGCGGCCGGCAGGAACACGCAGGCGCCGATCGCGCGGCCCCACGTCCGGTGCGCGAACTCCATCCACCAGATCCACTTGAACTCCGACAGCGTCATGTTCATGTTCTTGCTGGAACGTTCACGCGACCCGTTACGGCCGGAGACGGCGCAGCGGGAAGTCGCTCGTTCATGAATAACAGCAAAGATGAGCAAAAACTAAATAAAACCTTCGAAAATGAACAGGGAAGCGTCGAGTAATAACACTACGTAATTATTTTCTAATGACTGCACGAATGATTAAATAGTTCCAACCGTTAAGTCAACATTTCCCATCTGCACGATCTCTAATCTACAGTACATACTACTTATACTCAGGGTACTGCTGGTACTTGGCGAACTCGCGCTGCCACTGCTCCTCGCTGGTGGGCAGCGCCTCGCCCAGCAGCCGCCACGTCACCATCGACAGACCGGACTCCGTCAGGCGCGTCACGCCACCTAGGCACGCAACTTATTATTAATAACCTTCAAACATTACCTACCAAGATGATTATTACATTTTTATAATGCATCTACATCGGCTCATCTGTGTCAAGTAACATATTTGTTAGTCTTTGTAACAACACAAAATTGAGAAGCGTAGTGACTTCTCTAATTTGTGTTAAGGCAGAAGATGGAGGTGGTCAAAATGAAACTAGTATTCAGATAAAATACTTTATTTGTAAATCTCTGGCACTAGAATAAATTATCACAGTCACCTAGACATAAATAAGGCCCATATTAATATAACCAACTCAAGATTTTATTTCAACTATTATAACACCTCAACCCTTAGGCTACAGTTCAAGATAGTTCTAAGTTTTGATGCAGGATCTTTGTCACTTGACCTTGTTTCTTGAAATTGTTTTATTGTTAAATATAGAAAACATCTTTTTAAGATGTAAGAATATAAAGAAATGTACCCAAAAAAATGTTCAAAATACAGGTACACATTTACTTAGTTTAGGCATCGCAAATACACATTAGGTTCTAATATTAAAATTATAGCTTTACTATAAAGATTGTACGCCATCCAAGATATAGCATCTTTCTTTTTTTTCTTATAACATATTAATTCAGGAGAGATTGTTATACATTTCGAGACCTGAGCAACATCTTAGCCAGTACACACTTAATAAAGGACTCAAAGGTAATTTATTAATATGGGCCTAAATATCATAGTCATCTAACCTTTAGAAATAAAATATTTCACTAGTTTTTACATTTAACTTATATTCAAGAAAATTATTAATCCATCTTTCTCAAACAATAACTCCTGGAGTGAATTTACAAATATGTCCATGTCCTTCATATCATTAATTAAATTAATACATGCCTCGAAATCACTTACTTAACCTTGTCAAATGAACCGTAAAAAACACATTATTACTATTTTTCCTTTTGCAAGGCAGCATAAAAAGTAAAGATATAGGAACTACTTGCTACCATTAGTTGTGTTGATGACTATCCTGACAATGTAATAGATGCTGTAGAGCAGCACGAGGTACCCTGCAACCATACCTAGCACTACAGCTGTGAAGACCATGCCACTGCAGCCTAGCAACCAGTACCCGACAGCCTTGGGCGTCTGTGCCTTTGTTTTGGGTGTATTCGAGCAAAGCCGCATCACTATGCCATTTGATTTTAGTACGTCTTGTAGCTGGAAATTATAACATGAGTGTTTATTCCATTCAAACTATTTTATAAGTTTTCTTTACAATTGGTAACCTTCTAAAATCAATGGACACAACATAAATCTACCACTACTATGTAAAGTATCATATGTCGAAATTGCCAAGTTTACAGGGGAGGATTTGAACTCACTAAAAGAGTGATCATCATAGATCTTCTAACCGATATCTAGGATTTTATAATACTCTATGTGAGTAAAGAGCTTTGCCAAATAAAACTTAGAAATGCTACAGTCACGTGTTATGCTCATTTCAGTGAATTCTCGAACTTTAAAATGCTCCCCTGTAAACTTGGCAATTTCGACATAATATATATCATATTATGATACTTTACATAGGAGGGGTCAAAATATCTACTTATAATACATAATCATAGCCAATACTATGCCTGCCTACCTAGGTATTGAATTGTTTATAATTAGTTAAACACCTACCAGAATTTTTGGAGGTAAATATTTACACATTCATGATTACCTTTTGAGAAATAATATAGAAAAAAACATCAACTTAACAAACTGGGGACTATAATTTGGCATATATGCTATCATTATGGTACTTACTCTAAGTCCTTTAAAGTTATTCAGTCCATATTTACTATAGTTTTGTGACGGGGTGACTAACTGACGAACCACTGTGTTTGTGAGGCCACTTTTCGTGGTAACTAGTAGCCTGTTGGGCGCAGTCCTCAACGCCAAGGGTGCGCAGCGGCACGCCTGTGCTACGCTCCACATTGTGGACTCTGCACAGATGTAACAGGTTAGACAGTTGGAAACATGGCCTATGCTAACTTCCTAAGCAGCCTATGTGGCTGACTTACAAAGGTCCAGTGCATGATGTTTCATTCTAGTAATGTCCACACTCTTTTGTCATTTGAGAATGTCGGAGCATGGATGTGGAATCTTTTACATACTGGCTGGTGTGACATTGAGAGTTATTCTTTTTCAAATTTAAATTTACTTTTCTCACCTCGTAGAACTCTCTTCATGTCAAGTTGTGTTTTATTCACGTTATATATAATTTAATAAAAACCTTTATTAAAATCAGTTTTCTAATTTATTGATAGAACCGGAGGAGCTCTATCATTTTTTATAAATTGTAAATATCAATTTGCATTATAAGTAGTAAAAATGAATAATCAGAGATATATTTCATACCTATTAATGATATAAATGTAAAAGTATGGTCCTAAATTCACAAAACAATGCTAGCAAGGAATTTTGTTTTATTTATTGAATATAATATGTTTAGTATACGGTAAAACTACTATAGGAACTTACAACACAAATCAATTCAATTTTAGGTTATCAGAATAAGCGAATTTGATATTGAGGTTGCCAGTCGGAAGGAAGGGAAGCACCCGGACCTGAAACTGAAACCAGTAAACCAGTCGTCACAATCAGTGAGTGAAACCTGAAGAAAGAAAATGATAATTTATGATAATAGTAGGCTTGGGTAAAAAATATCGATATATTTATCACTAGGAAATAATCGATAATATTATATTGGACGTCCATTCATTTGAAATATATACCGGCGCGTTAAAATAGTTGATTTGAGTGTTGCCATTGCAATCCTGACTTGAGCATTGAATAGAGTTCTAGAATACGACCCTTAGGGTACTCGTACTTATTGAACGCAGCAATAGAATTCCCTCCATTATGTTTGACAGCTCATGTCTATATGTGCTCTCTGCGTTTGTTAACTGAATATACCTAATACACGTGTTTCCATCTATTTTATTACCAAGCCAAAACCCTTCCAATTGCGCACTGGTTATGGGCCCAGTGCTCTAGACCTGCAGAAATGGAAGTACCAACTGTTCATGTCGGAATCAAGTTGGAAGGGGTCGAAAACTGGAGTGTATGGAGGTTCCAGGTTAGAGTGATTTTGAATGGCTTGGGTTTGTGGGAAATCGTGGAAGGAACAAATCAAATACCTGTTCAAGGGGATGAAGCAATACAGAAATGGAAAATGTGCGATGCAAAAGCGCAGTCAGTCATCGTATCAAGGTTATCCGAGCGGGTCATGAAGCTGGTTATGAACTGTAATACTGCGTTGGAGATCTGGAGTAAACTACTGAGTGTGTATGAGCTCAGGTCGTCATGTAGCTTGCATTATCTACAGCAAAAATTTTTCGCGTATACCTATGAATCAGAAAACATTAGTGAGCATATAACTGCTTTGCAAGATTTGGCTAGTAAACTCTCAGAGAGGGGACAGAAAGTCGAAGAAAGTGCCCTCATGACAAAAATCTTAATGACACTGCCAGAAGGCTTTCAACATTTTCGAAGTGCATGGGATTCTGTAGAAGAAAGTAAGCAAAATATAAATGACTTAACGGCGAGGCTTCTAATGGAGGAAGAAAGACTAAAAGAAGGAGAGGTTAATAACAATAGTACAGCACTGGCAGCAAGGTCAGGGAAGATAAAATGTTTCAGATGTGGAAAAATTGGTCACAAAGCAAATCGATGCTACAAAAACAGTGTTACTGGTCAGCATGAAAAATTTGGAAGGGAACGTGATCAAGACAGAACCGTCAGTATGATATGTCACTATTGCAAGAAACAAGGACACGCAATTCGTGACTGTAAATTCAGGATTCAAAAGGATAATTATGGTAAAAATGCATTTATAATGTCAGCTTCTGCTATGTTTAATGCCAAGAGTACAAGTGACTGGATAATGGACAGCGGAGCTACGGAGCACATGACGGGTGATAAGAGTGTTTTTGTGAAATATTTTGAGCTGAAGGAGCCAAAACGAATTGTAATTGGAGATGGAACTGTAATTGAGGCCGAAGGTTGTGGACAAATAAGATGTGAAGCATTTAATGGTGATAAATGGATAGACACAACCCTAAATAATGTACTATATGTGCCAAATATCAAAGTAAATCTCTTCTCAGTGTCACAAGTAATAAACAGAGACTACTGCTTAATGTCAACAGGCAGTGACTTTAAAATTTTCAACAACAGTGGTAGTGTTGTGGCCATGGCAACAGCGAGAAACAACATGTATTGTATGGTGTTTAGAAATATATCAAGAGCATATGTTGGTAAGTCTAGAATGACACTAGTAGAGTGGCACTGCAGGCTGGCTCACCAGAATTTTGATTATGTGAGAAAAATTTTAAATAAACAGAATATTGATTTTGAAGATACCGGAAATGTTGTCTGTACCAGTTGCCTGGAGGGTAAACAACACAAATTGCCCTTTGGCAGAAGTGAAAGAAAAACAACTAAGCCGGGTGAGATAATTCATGCAGATCTTTGTGGTCCAATGGAAGAAAGATCCTTAGGAGGAGCCAGATATTATCTTTTATTAAAGGATGATTATTCACACTATAGAACTGTATATTTTTTGAAAGAAAAGACAGAGGTATATATGAAAATGAAACATTTCTTAGTATTCTCTAAGAAAGAGATGGGTGAGGATATAAAGATACTAAGAACTGACCAAGGAACAGAATTCTTAAAATTGAGACACCTCTTGGAAGAAAATGGAATAAGACATGAAACAACGGTAAGCTATACTCCAGAACAGAATGGAAAGATTGAAAGAGAAATGAGAACGATTACTGAGGCAGCTCGTACCATGTTGCAAGCTAAGTCTTTGCCAAAACCGTTTTGGGCTGAGGCTGTCAATACAGCTGTCTTCACTATTAATCGGACAGGAAAAAGTTCTGTACCTAGTAAAACTCCATATGAATTGTGGATGGGACAAGAATATGATGCAACACAAATAAAAGAATTTGGTACTGAAGTGTATGTGCATGTTCCAAAGCAACTTAGAAGGAAATGGGATCCGAAAGGAGAAAAAGGGTTATTCATGGGATATGGAGAGACCACAAAAGGTTATAGAATTTATATGACAAATAAAAGAGATGTTGTGATTAAAAGAGATGTGATATTTACTGGACGAGACCATAGTAAACAGGACATACAATTTGAAGAAAAAGGGACAGATGAATCTGGAAATAAAGATGAAGTGAATAATATATTAGGAAATGAAGGAGCACCAATAACTATATCAGGAAATAAAAAGTTTAATCAAGTAGTGGAAGAAAACAATGAAAATGAAGAAATTGTACAAGATGGTAATGGGGAGAATATAGAAGATGAGATACTTAACAAAGACATGGAAGAAAGATTTGAGGATGCTGTTGTTGATGAAGAAACTGAATCTATAGAAGAATATAATGAGGAAGAGGCAATTGTTGAAATAGAGAGAGAAAAGAGAATTTTGCGTCAGCCATTTTGGGCAAAGGATTATGACCTTGGTTTGACTATGAATGTGGATTCAGAACCAACAAACTTTATGGAGGCTATAGAAAGTTCAGAATCAGAAAGATGGAAGGAAGCCATACAAACAGAGTTCGAAGCACTTAACAAGAACAACACCTGGACAAAAACTAAATTGCCTCCTGGCAAGAAAGCAATAAGTAGTAAACTAGTATTCAAAAAGAAAATAGATAAAACAGGAAATGTAAAGTTTAAATGTAGACTAGTGGCTCGAGGCTTTGAACAAGAAACAGATTGTGATTGGAATGATCTTTATGCACCAGTGGCTAATTTACCTACACTTAAATGTTTTATAGCAGTGGCAAACAAATTGAACTTACCTTTATATCAAATGGATGTGTGTAGTGCGTTTCTTAATGGTGACATAAAGGAGGACGTTTACATGAAATTACCAAAATACTTTCCTGTTGATGATCCAAATGTTGTGTGCAAACTGAATAAATCCATTTACGGTTTGAAGAAATCCCCTAAATACTGGAATGAAAAATTCGATAGTGTTGTTAAAAGCAATGGATTTATTCAGTCAGATAATGATTTGTGTCTTTACTCAAAGTGTGACGCTGGCAGTAAATTGTATTTGTTACTGTATGTTGATGACATCCTGTTGTTTGGTACTGAAGAGACAGACGTTGAGCATATAAAACATGTATTAACTAACAACTTTGAGATGAAGGATTTAGGCCTTGTATCAGAATACCTTGGTATAAATATACAACAAAATTTGAACAAAGGAAGGACTGTAATTAATCAAACTACATATCTAAAGAATGTGTTAAATAAATTTGGAATGACTAATTGTAAACCAGCTGGTACACCACTTGATAAGAATTTTGATTTTGAATTGTTGAATAGAGAAAAATCTGAAAGTGCAGAAATAGAGTCTAAATGCAGGAGACTAGTAGGAAGTCTTATGTATGCAGTTTCAGGAACAAGGCCTGATCTATGTGCTAGTGTATGTTTACTGAGCAGGTACCAACACTGTGCTTCCGCACTATTATATAAAATGTTATTGAATGTCTTAAGATATGTTAAAGGTACTATTGATTATTGTTTAGTATATAAGTGTGATGTTGCCACTGATTATATAGAGGGTTTTGTCGATGCAGACTGGGGAGGTGATTTGATGGATCGAAAATCCACTTCAGGTTATTGTTTTAGAGTTTTTGGTTGCCCTATCTTGTGGGGCTCAAAGAAACAACAATCTGTGGCAATATCATCCACAGAATCGGAATATATGGCATTAAGCTTGGCTGTTACTGAGGCTTGTTGGTTGAGAAAGTTAATTTCAGACTTTAACATACAAATAAAATTAGACGCTGTAACTTTATATGAAGACAATCAGTCAGCCATGCAGATTGCTTTGTATCCTGAGAATAATAGGAAGTTAAAACATATTAATATCAGACATCATTTTATTAAAGAAAAAATTGAAATGGGTATAATTAGGTTAAAGTATGTGAGCACTAGTGAACAACTGGGAGACTTGTTTACCAAACCATTGGGGAAGCAGCAGTTCACTAAATTTAGAGACACATTATTATTTAAAGTGCAGTAAGTGCTATGTATTTGAGTTATCGTTAATTTTTGGGCTATAAAGATGTTTGATTATAAGAAAGTTTCACTGTTAAGTAGACAAGTGTTCTATATATATAATTTCTTTTTGTATTAAGCTGTGTGCTGTTCTTTTGATAAGGATTGGGATAGTAGAGGTTATTCTATTGGGGAGGGGTATTGAACGCTGCAATAGAATTCCCTCCATTATGTTTGACAGCTCATGTCTATATGTGCTCTCTGCGTTTGTTAACTGAATATACCTAATACACGTGTTTCCATCTATTTTATTACCAAGCCAAAACCCTTCCAATTGCGCACTGTACTCAAGTCCCTGCCATTAGGGTCGTATTTCCAGTGCTTGAAATCATACTCATATCCTGACTTGAGCATTGAGTAGAGTTCTGGAATACGACCCTTATATTCGCTAAATCAACGATTGTAGTTATTATTTAGAGCGGGTAACACCGAAAGGAGTTGTAAGTATCAGTTTTTCGGCGGGCAAAAAGTTTGACAGATCGCCGGTTTTGAGAGTGCACTTACAAACCCATTGCTTCTAAATGTAACTATTTTGTCGTTATTATTCACCGCGGGGCTTAACGAATTTATAACGAAGAACGTGTAGACCAATTATCAAATAATTCCTGACACAATTATATAATTATATAATATATTTTAGTGTCCAAGTGCAGTGTTGCCAACTAGACTAGCGCCAATGTCGCTAAAAAGTGGTTAGTTGTCGCTAAAACTATATTTCCACTTCATACGAAAATTTTACTCTTATGGTGCTCATAATAAAGTTCGTTTAATTGGCAAGAACTTTATGGTCATGTCACAGATAAAAGACCAGCAGCTTGATTTTGATTGCCTCTCCCGATCGGAAACTATATCTTTTTCGAGTCGAGGCGCATAATTGCTATTCACAACTGGCCGATCAGAAACTTTTGACATTTCTAATCGGTACTATTGATTTATTATGATTTAACTCACAAATTAGAAAGATGTAGTAGGAGTCAGGTTCGTCTTTTCGCTCAGAAACCCATCTGATTTCGAGACTACCCGATCGGCACAAATTAGAAAGATATAGTAAGAATCAGGTTCATGTTTTCGCTTAGAAACCCATCTGATTTCGAGACTACCCGATCGGTAGGGCTAGCACGACAGGGCGCAACTTGCGCGAGATCGACATAAAGCGTGAGATCTCGGTGCGAGAATATTAGTATCTCGCGCTTTATGTCGCTCTCGCGCGAATCGCGAGAAATTATATATAATAGTATTTGGTATGGTCTTCTGATTTGTGGTTTTGGTCTGAAATTAACTTATGTGAAATATTTTTAGGTAACTACTGGCTAAGGTAAAATATCAAATATTTTTCTCGATTAGACATATATCGATACATATTTGACTTGCCCATCCCTAGAAAAAAATTTTGACTTTTTTGATGTTGACATTGCCTTTTTTTATTATTTTGGCTTAGATAATGACATCGACTTTTCTCCGCCATGTATTTATTACATTTACATTTATTAATTAATTAAAAGAGTAAAGGTAAAATATGTATATTAATGCTGAACTCACAAACACAATTTAGAAACAGAGAATGCAACTAAACTTGATTTAATTACGCACATTTAATTAATTTATGTTTTAATATAATAATAATAATAATTTATTTATTGTTCTTTCCACCTTAACAATACAAATTACAGGGTATTTATCGTAAAGAACATCATACAGTGAAAATTGTGAGGTGGAAGACTGGTGCCTAAACTAGGTTGGACCTGTACTATAATTTTTACGATTTTTGAACATTTTACGATTGTATAACTACTTACGACCCACGAAACTATTATAAAGGTCGATAACTTATTTCGGTGGCTATGGACACTCCTGTGCAGCCTTGCGGGCAGCAGGCCGCTAAAAGGCATTAATTATCCTGCATCAAAAGAACAATTTGAATGAAGCTCAATGAATTGCTTGCATTAGTGTCGTAGTACACTTGGTACTGGGTCCGCATGTTGTAATCAAATTATCGATATGTAGAAACTCTGTATCTAGAAACCTGGTTTTGGTTTAGTTCAACTTTTTTTTTATTATTGCGGTGCCAATGTGTAAACATAAATTGTTTATAGGTATTTAAAAGCTAATAATTTTGATTACTTAAATGATTGCTCCCAACACTTGCAATAGTTTATTTAAATTTTCAGTTTAAGTAAAAACGATATATTAATGGAAAAAAAGGAAATATAGATAGAAGAGGTACAATGTCGATAATTTTACAATGCACGTAAGTTCGTGGAGTATCAAATGAAGACTTTATGAGATTGGAGATTTTCTTTCCCTTATCTACATGATTCCTATCTCCCTACTTGCTTATTGTATGTCACCTTCATCATGTAAATCAGCAAATGTAAATCACAGGTGTGATTTACATTTGCAGTTTTTGTATTGATTTTTTTAGTTTTCCGCCGGATCCTTTTTAAAGGAGAAATGGGCTGATAGTAAAAGCTGGGTACCTACTAAATGTAGCACCATTTGCTATAGGCATTTCATGACAACCGAAAAATTCATTAAGAAATAAATCATTTGGTTTATCAGGTAATATATGACATGAAACTCAGAGTCGCATTCACAAATTATAGACCACATCTAATTGTAAAAACATTTCTGAAGCATTGTCAGTTATTTTTCGTCAAGTTTTTATGAAACAAATGATTCGCTTCTTCGCCTTCGTAAATAAGTATCTTCATTTTCTACACAAGCTCATCGATGCTTTAGGGCTAGTCATCTTCAGTCAGTTCAGAAAGAGGTAATTGTTGAACAAATATATCGTATTTCAGGGAGAATGAAGATTTTTATGATGACTGTGTTTTAATATTTCATCCCTTCCAATGATCTGATTGACTTGAAATCTAGTAGGTTAATCAAAGTACGATGACAGTATAATAAATCATTAATACTGTGATTGTAGCATGTAGCTACGTATACGCACTCGCCTGCGTGCGTAGCTAATATCAATTAATATTTGCGTGTAGTAAATGCGTATTTGGTAACAAATGTGTGCGTGTAAAAGTCAGCTACGCTAGTTCTCGAAGATATTGCTTTAAATGCTGTTTCCATATACTCCGTGGTTAGTCCTAATTATAGCAAGTTTATAGCAATGCCTAGTTCAATATTCCACTAATTATGAAACATAATGTCGATATCAATTAAATGTCACATCCCTATCTGTAGATTTTTGCTTTTGTTCCAAGAAGTTTGTAAATGTTCATAGGATTCTACTATTTGGATCTAATAAGGTTTTATTATAAAACCTTATTAGATCCAAATAAGTTAAAATTTTTGTTACCAAAAGTTTTTTATTATTGTCTATTTTGATTTTAATAATTTATAACCAATCAAAATTATGTTGTCTTAGTACTAATGTTAGATTACGTTTTCGAATATGTGCGTGTGGCGACATCGGTTTTGATACAAAAGTTGCTTTATGCCATTTCCATTCTTTTCTTTCTTCCGTGGCCACAAAATTCACAGCCTCTTGAACACGAATTTACATAAAGGGGGAATTCATTATCCTGCATTACAGTCCGCCTTGCCATCCGCATCATTCGCATGCAGGATTATAAAAGTAGTCGCAGGGTGCAATCCATCCCGCAATCCTGCAATGCGTCCTGGGAGACTCCATACGTGGGCCATTTGCAGGATAGTGTGTGAGCAGTCTCCTGCCTGCGCGGCAGACTGCCACGTTGTAGTGAGTGGGCCGTTTTAGATAGGTATACCCAAGGTGTGGGTAAATCGGAGTGCCATTAACCAAGGGTTTACTTTGTGCATTACATTTGAAATAAATAACAACCTGTTACAAGAAATCTTATATTTCGTTACTTCATAAATTTCGTCGTTTCAACAAAGAACTTCAAAATAAACACGGGACACGAAATAGACATTTAAACAAACTCAAAGCTACGGTACTTGAAATTATTTATCCCTCCATTTCTTTATAATCGTTTGACAGCGCTTTAATGTTGTGAAGTGCATGTTTAAATTCACCTTCTTCTAATCCTTCGCCGACATAATGGTGGACGAAAGCTCTCTTGGAATATAACAGCGAGAACTTCTTACAAAGACGTTCCCAAGCTATTCTTATAGCTGATGTGTTTGAAACCATTACGCACGCTCTTTGCAAGGCCGCTAAATCTCCTCCAGGGACCGTAACTGGTGGTTGTTCATTTATACCAATCTAATAATTGTATTAAAAACGATGAAAATGAAAAGATAAGTAAGATATTATAAACCGTATTAAGAGGGAAAGTTCTAACAAGTTTGATTTCTAAAATGAAACTAACCGGTGAGTTTCATTTTGTTAGTGTTAAACAATTATTGTTGTTTCAAGTGATATTGATGCTAAGCTGGAATAAGAACCACTTAAGTGTGAACATTTTTTATTTGGGTTCGTACAGTATTATAGCTGTATTAGCGCCATTGTGACAGGGTCAAAACCAAGCTTGTTAGCTATTACATGATAGGACCAAATAGGAAAATGTGATTGAAAGATTACCTTGAACCCAGTTGGAGACCAAGACACGAATTTTATGCCTCTCATACTTTTAATTTGGTCGATTGAAGAGTTAATGTCATTAGGGCTCACATCTCCTCTAAACAGCACACAACATGACATATAATGTCCACCTCTGGGATCACATTTAACCATCTGGTTGGATGGTTCGAAGCAAGAAACCATTAGTTGACTGGTCGATAATGTTTGATGATACGCTTTTGCGGCAGAAACAAATGGTGCAAATGTAATCAATGGAAAGTGGATCCTTGGAAAAGGTACCAGATTAGTTCGAAAATCTACCAAATCCATATTTAGGGAACCGGGAAATCTCATGGATGCTGTCATACAAGCGATTACCTAAAATAAAATATGATTTAAAACATTGTAACATTTAACGAACATAATGCCTCATCATCTTTTACACACATTTAATGTTGTTTGTACTAACTTGTGCAACAAGTCTATTCAAGTTGGTATAAGTAGGTCTTGGTACATCTAAGTCTCTGGCCAAAATATCATAGAGTGCTTCGTTGTCAAAAATAAAAGCAACGTCTGTTATATCCATACACGCATGGGAAGTGAATACTGCGTTATATGGTTCCACAATGATCGGCGATATTTTTGGAGCGGGATAAACGGCATATTCTATTTTGGATAGCTTTCCGTAATCTTTTTTCAAACCTTCGAGCACGAGCGGTGTGAACCCTGAACCAGTACCTCCACCGAATGATCGGACAATAATAAACCCTTGTAACTGGGAACAGTCTTCGCTCACTATACGAACTCTATTGAGAGCTACGTCTATCATTTCTCGACCCACGCCAAAATATCCGCGAGCAAAATTACTTGCAGCGTCTTCTTTACCCGTTAATAAAGAATGTGGATGAAACAGGTCTCGATATGCACCAGTTCTTATTTCGTCTGTTGAGATATAATTATTATTATGTAATTAAGCACTAATGAGGTAAAACTAAGATAGCATTGTCATTCCATTACCTATAGGTGTCGGTTCTAAATCAACTATTACGCATCTTGGTACATATTTCCCTGCTCCAGTTTCGTTAAAGAATGTACCGCAACCTGCGTCATTGTTTTGAAAAGCCGATATACCATCGGGTCTGATTCCATGCTCCAGACAATAAAGCTCCCAACATGCATTCGCTACTTGAACTCCAGCTTGACCAATATGAATGTGAATAATTTCTTTCACAGTCATTCTCACATGATAGTTAGCACTGATAATTTTGATTAAAACTTGAATTAAAAAATCTTGTGTTTACATTTTATCGTTAATTATATTGTTGATGTTTTCTAGTCCATGTTTACTATCGGATATTTTTGTGTCCACTTTGATCGGACTGATTATTGTGAACACTTTTGACATTAATTGACAGTTACCGTGTATACAACGATATCTATGTAGTCTTTGCATAAATAATAATAATTATTATTGATTTTTAGGGTTCCGATGTTACGAATTGTATGTGTATTACGAAATGTATATTACGAATCCTAATTGTATGTACACATAAACATGATGAAACGATTAAGATACAGTCAATGATGGAATCAAACTATTACATGGAAAAAATCTGAAAATAACGATATGAGGAGACGCTCACAAAAATTTGTTTTGTTTTTAAGACAACTATAGGTCCACTATCCTACGATAGATCTTCCACAATGCGAACTACAACATTATCGTATTATAAAATATAGTATATAGAACTTATATGCTGTATTGTATTATTATTTGCGGTCAAAAGTGGTTTAAGACATCACTCGTATGTAGGTGCTTCTTAGTTACTTTCAATGGAAAATATAACTGAATCTGAAATGAAAACAGTTGTGAACATTTTTAACATTTGAAAGTGTTCACTACTTTAGGAGGAGGATGAAAGCTCAAAAGAAGTCAAACCCTTTTTCGAGCGTAATGTTCATCAATCTATTCAATAAGTATGTGCAGCACTTTAACATAGACAGTACAGTACCCTCCAAGTAAATACCTAGAATAATGTGTTTAAGGCCCATGTTGTCGCTTTTCGATGTGAAACTGATTATGAACAACTGAAATGAAGAAGGATATTATTAGCGGGACTGTATGGGAAATGATTGGAATATATCATTATTTATAAATCTTACATCCTATGTAGGTATTATAATATAAGATATTAAACCAAGTTGAAACAGAATGTGATTTAGCCGAATTACTTAATGGGTATACATACATACGGTACCTTAATAAGGGTGTAGGGCCGACGCGCATATCGGTGGTTTTTTTAATATCTATTACGTTAATTTCAAACTGCAAACAATTTCTTTTTCTTTAAACTTTTTGGTTTGCGTGGCACAACCATTTGCCTCTTACGACTATAGTCTTTTTTTTTCCATCGTATAAGATTTGCCTACCTAAATAAAAGGGTGATTTTTTTTTAATTTATAAAGACTTTGGTAAAGCCATCAGGATAAAGAGGATAGGCAATTTGTGGCGGCGTGCTTGGATTGACTCGGGATTCCTTAAAACGGGCCGATACGGATATTGAAGTTCGAGATTCGTATAATTTCGCGTTTTAATCAACGATTAAGGCACAATAGCACTATCCTATTCCACTTTAAACTAGATTTCGCTAAATAATTGAAAGTCAAAATAAAAACGACACTTTTCCCTCCAAAATACCCAGAGCGAATACACATGGAGAAAACTTATTAAAAAAGAAATTGTCAATGTGACAGTGAGTGAGTTGACATCACGTTGCCATTTGACAATTGACTTGGAAAAGTAAACAAGTTACTTAGGTTTTCGATTATTTGCGTATGTAATCTTATAAAAAAATATTACAGGACATTGGCAAAATCGCCATTTTTTTTGTATAATTTTTATAATAATACTAAACTACCGTACATAGTTATTTTTACTTGACATTGGCAAAATCATTGATTATTTCGATGGGGCCATAACATTTAAAAGAAGAAGAATTGTATTTTTATTTCGATGAGATATTAGCAGTGCTTTCACGCCCGACATCTGGAACCATATTTTCATTTATAAAGAACATTAAAAATGAATTTCGCGGGTAAAGTTGTGATAGTAACCGGTGCGAGTTCCGGTATCGGGGCTGCAACTGCGGTTTTCTTATCGAGACTCGGGGCGAAGCTGTCCCTCACCGGTAGAAACGTCGAGAACTTACTGAAGGTCAGTCAGAATTGTGATAAAGCTGCTGCTACTTTTGTTGTCCCCGCAGATTTAACCAAAGAAAGTGACATTGAAAGCATCGTAAAGCAAACTGTAAATCACTACGGGCAGCTGGATGTGCTTGTGAACAATGCGGGTATTATCGAGACCGGCACCATCGAGAACACGTCTCTAGCGCAATACGACAAACTTATGAATACAAATGTGCGTTCTATTTATTATCTGACGATGCTTGCAGTGCCGCACCTGCTCAAGACTAAAGGGAACATAGTAAACGTGTCCAGCGTGAATGGAATACGTTCCTTCCCTGGAGTTCTGGCTTATAATGTGTCTAAGGCGGCTGTTGATCAGTTCACTCGATGTGTAGCTCTGGAACTAGCACCGAAAGGCGTGAGAGTAAATTGCGTGAATCCGGGTGTTATTCTCACAGAGCTGCAGAAACGCGGTGGTTTGAGTGATGAGCAATATGCTGCGTTCCTGGAGAGGAGTAGGGAGACGCATGCTTTGGGCAGGCCAGGGAAGCCTGAAGAAGTGGCAGCTGCTATAGCATTCCTCGCTAGTGACCTGGCCACCAATATCACCGGTGTGAGTCTGCCTGTGGATGGAGGTCGCCATGCCATGTGCCCCCGATGAAACTTTCACCGCAATTGCATTCAGTGCCAATATCAACACGAGTGCCTTATTTTGTTTGTTTCCTAGTTTATAAGCATAATTTGTAGCTTTTGAAGCTTTTATTTTTCTAAACTGAATTGGCATTTATGTTTTGTTACCTATACTTAAATAAGTTTACATTTTTGATCCTGTGAAATTTATATTTTATGAATTATAACTACGAAATACAAAAACCAAAGTAATTTTCTGTGTTTTATTTAAATAAGTTATAGTAATCAATACCTTAGCTACACTAATATTAATTATCACATTTACAAACTGAACCTAGTCTAATATCTATGTTTTACCTATGTATCTATTATACACCTAACCTTCATATAAATTTAAATACAGTCTTAAAGTACCAGATTATTGTTTTAGGTCCTAAAAACAGAACTCTAAGAACATACATGTAGCTAAGAACCTATAATGTGCATTCATTCTTGTAGAATTTCCATTGTAAATTTAATAACCGTGTTTGTTAATTTGATATACTGCATTTTGTATGGGAGTTAGCATTTAAGTGCAGCTTACAACATCTTGGTAAGTGCTGGTAAAATCTAAACATTTGTTTTGTTTATTACTACCTTAGTCCTTGCAATTCTAAGCTAACAGGTCAAAATACAATAGCTACATTATGTAACTTTGTTCTTGTTGCTTATATTTATATAAGAAATATCTAATCAGAACTAAGACCTT